TACTTTCTATTTCCAGGAAGTCAGAATTCCTTAGGGGCAGGCCAGTTACTGAGTCTCAGAATCGACAACTATAACCATGAGGGGACAAGACAAGCAGGGATGTGTTTCAAAGCCCAAGTCAGTAACTGGCTGGAGATGCCTAGTGCAAGGGAAAAATGTGAATTGATGTAGTTAAATTCCGAAGATGTCTGTGAATGGGCCAGGGCTTCAGGGGCTTCTGAACATAGGTGTCCTGTGCTATGTGATACTGGTAGCTGCTGCCCATCACTTGACAGGTGGACCTCCCTTGGTGGGAACCAAGCCTGGAGGTACACACCCTTTCATCTTCAAGGCTGTGACTGCTCTTGGCAAGGTCGGTTCTTCTCATCAGGTCTGTCTTTCCCTGTAGTTTCAGACCACACAACTCTTCTGGAGCCTGGAGCTGCGGCCCATGGTTGAGCCTGATGTGCCTTTTTCTGTTTCCCACAACAGCGCCTGTAGCTGCCTAAACCATTCCCTCAAAGGCTTGCATCTTTTCACAGGAAGGTGCCCTTGGGATTGACTGTACACCTTTCTCTCATTAGTCTGCCTAAATTAAGACTCTTGCATACAAACATGCCTTCAGAACTATATTAACTTGGGTAGCTTACCTGGATCACAGGTGGTCTTATTCTCTTCTACCTTCTTTTCTAAAAAAATAATTAATGTTAAGTCGACAAGGAAAATATATGTTTATGAGTAGCTTGTGAATGGCTAAACCAAGCTAACTGGCATATGCATTACCTTATCTAATTCTCATTTATTTGCAGTGAGGATGCTTAAATCTTCTCTTTTATTCTCTTTCACCTTCTGTCCCATATTCCCAACTTAGGTGCTTCCTCTGTTCAACTTGCTCAGTTTGCCCATTTTCCCTTCCAGTCTTAGTTTGTCATTCTTGCTAAGGAATCTTAAAGGCCAAATATCATCCCAGTAATATAAACAGGTTGCTGTAGGGATAGAGGCTGTGTTTACTGAGAACAATACTGTGTGGTGTTATTCCCTGTGACTGTGTTTTGAATTCTGTTCTTTCAACATGATGTGTTCATAAAAGTGTGGGTGATGAAAGTGGATAGATCCAAGCTCACATTGCCACAGGTAGAATTTTCTTAGCTGTAGCAGCATCGTTGGCTCACTCACTCATTGACTTATTCACTTATTTCAAGAGCATTTATGGAGTACCTCTGGGGTACCAAGCACTTATGTAGGCTCTGGCAAATTGGAGATTGTATATACAAAGATGCTCGTACCCTTGTCTTCTTGGAACACATCCTTTGTAAGAAGGTGAGAACAATGTCTGCTTTGGAGTGTGGGCTGTTAGGATAAGATGAGATATGTAGAGCAACCAACACAGAATTTGGCACATAGTAGTTGTTTAATAAATATTATTTGTCATTCTTTTCATAGTAAATATGATATTAGATACATTTTAAAGACTTTTGTGAAATATCATCTGTAGGAAAAATATTTTTGAAAAGCATTTTCATGCATCATTAAAGTCTTAAAATTGGTATTTTTTTTCTTTTTGGCTTTTAAGTTGTAAAAGAAGAAACTTTTTTTAAAAGGGTAGAACGTGGAACAGTGATTCCACACACATTTAAAGTCGCCTTTGTTTTTTCTGCTACATAAATAGCTCCAGTTAGAAATGATGGCAGTTCTCATTTTCTCTAAACCGTCAGCTTCTTTGAGCTGGCCGTGTTGGTTGTAGAGGTCTGCTTCATAGAGATATCTTATCTTTAAAAAAAATGTAAAGAATCTTTAACTTCTTTCACTGCTAATAGTTTTATATCCTCTAATAAATCTATGACATTTTATCTGGCCCAGAGCTTCTATAAATTCACATATTAGATAGCTGAGCCATATGATGTGAATTTTTAAGGCTGTTCCACTGGCTTCATGAATTTAATTCTGTAATTGTTGAAATTAATGTAGTCTGACAATGTCATGATTTTCCCCTATTTTTTCTGCCTCAAGGTTGATGCATCCTGTTGGGGTGAATGTGTGGTTACTGAAACCATAACAGTCCACTACAACTACAAAACAGTGATTTCATGAAGAAATTAAATATCAAAAAAAAAATACTTCCTAAAACGATAATATTGGAGCACTAATGAACATTTGTTTTGTCAACTACTTTGAAAGCTTTTACTGGACTGTTAATGGTATTTGCAGTGTAGCCAAAATAAATAAATAAATAAATAAATACATAATTGAGGCCTTTTATCCTTAGGTGGCTCAAATAAACTCAGTAAGAACATATTTAGCAACAGTGCATTATTTGACTGAGTTTAATAATTATCAATCAACCAGCTCATACTTTGAGCCACACTGTTGATAATTTATAGAACACATGCGTGGGTGGTAAGTTTTGTCTGTTTGCCTCTCTAGGCACAATTTCTGCCTGTCTCCACCTGCTTTGTCTCCTGGTGTATTAGTCAGCTCGGCTGCTGTAATAAAACAAAACAGACTGAGTGGCTTACACGATGGAAATGTATTTTCTCACAGTTTGGAGGCTGGAAATGTAAGACCATGGTCTGTCTGGGTTTGGTTTCTGGTGAGGACTCTCTTCCTGACTTGTAGAGAGGCACCTTCTTGCTGTGACCTCACATGGCCTTTCCTCACGTTACCTGGGAGAGGCAGAAGTGGGGGGTGGCGGGGAGCGAGGGAGAACAAGTACTAGAGCGAACTCTTCTGGTGTCTCCTCTTGTAAGGACACAGATGTCGTGTGGTAGCTTCATGCTCACGACCTCGTCTAGTCCTAATTTCCTTCCAAAGGCCCCCCTCCAGATACTATGACAATGGAGGAAAGGGCTTCACCATGTGAATTTGGGGTGGACACAGCCTTTAAACCATGACACTGGGGAAGCTGACCTTTACAGGCATTTTTAGCCTCTTGCCAACTATTGAGTTTGGCCGGTGGGGAACATCATCGGGTGATGGAGGGAGGGCGAAAGTGAGTCAAGGGTGTCACCAACTGGCTGTGCCCCTTGCCTCAAGGTCATGGCTCTCCCCAGGCAGTCCTCTCTGCTTCAGGTCCTGTGGTGACAGCCGTGCTATGGCTGGTCTTAGGACCCTGCACTATCCCTGTGCTTTTTCCAATTTCCCTGTACCCTGCTTTATCTTTGTAAGAAGTTCCTTTATTCAACCTCCCTTTCTCAATTTGAAGATACCTTCTATTTCTTCCTGCAATCCTAATAAAGTTCAATTGAGATATTTTAAAATTTTTAACATCTTAGATGTTGTACTTTTGGTTGAAGTGAATTGGCAGAAATCTCTAATAAAGAAGAAATTTACCTTTCCCTTGTCCTAAATAGTTCTCCTGCCTACCCTCCACCATAAAACAAACTAACTCCCCACCAAGCCCAACATTTTTATAAGTAAAATGGGTACCACTTTGTAGATGAGTAGTTTGTGTATTCTTACCTTTTGATCAGAAAGCATCCAGGGTCAGGGAGAGCCTTTTGGGGAAATAATTATCCAGTAGTTAACATATGTCTGTTGGATCGTTATCTAAACGATCCATCAGTGCTTTCTTGTTCATCAGATTGTTGGTCAGGGAAATGTAGAGCTGGTCCTAGAACATTGCCATGTGGTTACCAACCCCCTGAAATTGTCACTTACATATTTGTTCCACGACTTAGGGCTTATTCCCACCTGCAGAATTCCAGCTGAAATTCTGATGGTCTTAAGCACCTTAGTGTTCTAGGCACCGAGAACAATGCTTATGGGAGCTTCCAATAAATATTCGTCAAGTTAATGTTACCTGCAATCTGATTACCTGCAGGAGGGTGTAGTGGATAGGACTTGTGGGAGGAAACTCATGGGATTTCTCGAAATAAAGCCCTTTTGGCAAACAGCACACAGTGACATCAGATATGGGGCAGTCAGCAAGGAGTTTCAGGGCTAGTGGCCTTTGGAGTCTAGCAAGCTAAGGCATGGTTCTAAAAATCTGGATCAGAGGGAAGGAGGCTCCTGGAATTCTGGACAGGTGGAGAGTGTATCAGCAGATTGTAAAATGTAAGCAGTGTGGAAGATTGTATATGCTGGGTGCTGTGATACGAGCTAAGCCATGCTCCATACCTTAGGTAAGTTGTCTCTCCAGCATGGAAAACTGAAAAAATTTTTATTTTCTTCCCCATAAAATGGAAAAAAAAGTCAGTCAACTTCAGTTCTAACATTAAATTTTCTTTTAAGATGATATACTGTTATTTTTAAATTTTATAGTAGATTTTAGGTGCCTGAACTATATATACTATAGCATGTAGACTTACACATTGTTAAGAGTCTGAAATACAGATAATGAAATTGAAAGTATGATTGGAAAAAAATCAAGATTATATTTCCATGGGCATCCATAAAACATTAATCACAGTTTTTATTTACAACTTTATAAGATAGTCTAGAGATGCTGAAGTCACTATGGTTCCCCTTCTTGCCATTTTATAATGTAACGGGATAAATTGATTTCCTTTCTTAACGAGGCACAAACCACATAAGGCAAAGTAAATAAAGGCCTTCAAATGGGCTTTAATAATTTCTTGGCCTTCTAATTGACACAGATGTCTGTGTTGAGAGGTGATGAGCAGCCTTTCTTGTGGTACAACATAAACTTCATTTTCCCTAGGCTGAAGACTAATACCACAGGAAATGAAAGGACACAGGAAAGCTTAGAGAACACTGGAGGCAGAACAGCTAATGCAAGGTGAGTATCCAGTCAAGGAATTCACAAGATCAGTAAAAGCTTACAGCGCTCCCTAACTCTCTACCGTGAAAACAGCCCACTGAAATAATACCAGGTAAATTATACCAGGTGAATGTTTTATCAGTATCCTGGAGGTTTTCTCTCACAGAATAATTTCCTTAAAATAGGAGTGTATTATTCAGGCCTAACAACTAGTAATTGCCCAGTGTCTGAGTCAGTAATGGTATAATAAAATTAACTTATTTACAAAGAATTATTATTACGTGTTAGTGAATTTTAGATGAATAATTAGTCAGTTTAAAATTTGCAACTTCTATCCCATTGATATATTGTGTTTCTATCGCTTTCCTTTCAAAAATTAATTTTTCATTAATCAGGAAGCATGCTTTAGCTCACACAGTTTAATGATAGAATTCTTTTTGTGGAGGGGAGATGACTCTTCTTGTAGCTGTGTGTTTACATTTCAGTGGGATTTTGGATATGAACTTGGTAAAAGGAGTTTCTTTAGCATTTTTTGTATGATGAAACTGCAAAATTGAAGGTAGTGTGCATTTTGGTTTATAAATGGAATGAGACCATGTAATGGGATTTTGTATTTGTTCATGATTTATAGGATGTATTTTTGTGTTAAATAATCTCTCATTATTGTGAACCACGCTTGTTTTAGGATACTTTGTTTCATGGAAGCAAAACAAAAGAGCTTGTTTTGGGTTTCAGTTTTTGGTATTAGCTTGTCGGTTTTGTAATCCAATCAGGACAAGAAAGGGACAAATCATGAGTGAGGCAGAGATGGACAGGAAGATGAGTCATCCTTATTCTGCAATAGGAAATGTGATAGTGGCCATTTAGTAAGAGCCCTGTTGGTGGGGTGACCTCACACACACAGGTGTGCTTGTTGGCTCTGATGACTCAGCCCCCCAGGCTTTGGGACAGCACAGCTTGTTCCACTGCCCTTTGCATATGGACCCCAGAGAGGCTCCAACCCCTTCCTGAATCGTGCAGCTAGTTTCAGCTACGGGCAGGGTTGATATACACGGAGCACCTTTCTGCCGATGCCCCAGTCTGGGCCTGAGCCCAAGAGCCATCTCTAGTGTTGACATTCATGGATGGAACAGAGCAATCACTTTCAAAAAGGCACACCTACACTTTGTGGCAACACAAAAATAAGCCTTTGAATGTTGTATCCGGAATGCGTGTGAGGAAAAACCACTTAGTTTCTCATTTTTAAAAAGTTACTCTTTTTGTCTAACTTGAGGGAGCATTGGGAGAAGGAATAAGATTGCTTAGAAGTTGCAATAATGTACACATCACAATTTTTGGCAATAACTATATGACGACCTTGCTAGTTGCTAACATAAAAGGTCAAAATGCTATCATTGGATGTCTAGTTGAGGGACTCCGATCTTTCTCTGAGTCATGAGAAATTTATTTTAGATGGAAACTGAATATTCTAGTTGTTTTTCTTCTGATCTCTTTCTTTTCTCAAGTATAAATTAACAATATAGAAGAGCATGTCTCAGCCCAGTATCAGCAAGCTGTCCATCCTAGCAGCTCACATAACTCCTTTACATGTTACCTGTGGGTTTTCAAGATGTTCTAATTTCTATGTCAGGAAATTAGCCTCTGCGGTACTTTCAGTTATCCTGTGGTTCTTAAGGCTAATGATTGCAAATGAGACCCCTGAGCCCTATCACTGTTAGTACTGCTGGTTCGGACAGGGGAGAGTAAAGTAAAATCTTGAAGCCTGTACAAAACTCTAATTTGATTAATTTGAGATTAACTGTTTAGCACCTTCCTGAAATTAATAAAATAGCCTTGCTTATGTATGCTCACAGTCCTGTGTTCTAAGCAGAATACAAATGCTTTGTTTTAGTGTGAAAGTATGTAGATTAGAGATGGGCAGTGCTTGGCCCAGGCTGTAGGGCCACCCTGTATCAGTATCTTTCTACAGGATTCTTCTGATAAGAATCTTACATTCTCTGAAAATGAATGTCTGCTCCATCATCCATTACTTAGATTTCTTTTAGGCCATTCTGAAATAATTTGGGCAGACTTTTATGTTTGTTTAAGTGGAGCATGTTTGCATTGTTACTGGGAGTTCATTTAATTTTTACAAAGGGTAATTGAATTATTCTGAAGTTGAATGCATGGTTTATGCACAGCAATATATTAGCTTGTAAGTTGCCAATTGAGGGAGTCACTGTGAATAAAATGTTTCCTACATGCATCCTAAGTATTTTGGGAGCTTAAAATGTGAATTTTGATCACAGACATTCTTTGTAGACAGTAGACTTAATTGGTCGCACCTGACAGGTATACCTATATTCAAAGCCACTTAGAAGTAAATGCAAATCAAATCGAGTTTGGCCTAATTAAATTATCTGGGGGAGGTAAGTATGTGAAGTTGCTAATGTTGTTATTACAAATCACCTACACTAGGAGGTGCACACAAGTTATACTCTGTATTCTGTTTGGAGACCTTTCGGTGAACCAGTGAGTAATATCGAAAGCCTGCCAATTAAGAATCAGTAGACTTTAATATTCAGAAAGGCATGTTTCCTCCCAAAGTGTTACATATTTTCTGGAAACAAGCACTGTACTTTCTAATATTTTTCTCACTGCACAGATAGGATTATTTTAGATAATCATGTTGAATGTGCACCTCTTTTTTTATTATTATTATGAATGGAGGAGATAGTATTGGAAAAGGCAAAGAAAGTGGCAGACCTTAAAGTTCTTGTACATCGGTCCTTACTTACACCAGGATGTCATTGGTATAACACTTTAAGATCTTCACTTTGCTAAAAAATACAATAAGTGATCAACTTATACACATTGTTATTTTTCATAACATTATTGTTATTTATTAGATATATATTTGATTATCCAAAAATTCTATTGACTTAGATTTTTTAACTTTCATGTCTCTACTTTTTTTCTTTGTGCACTACTAAAATAGATAATAATTAAGTATCTTAATACTAGAGAATGAGTCAAAAATAGAAATTTCAATTGGGTAAAGTAGGAGAAATCTAACAGAGCAAGGAGAAGTAACTTACATGGATGTTGTCAATTATGGTGAATTCTCCCTGGGTAGTGGTATTAGGAAGCTTGCTTTATGTCTTGCCAATGACTGGCCAATCTTGTTAAGTACCATTTCTTGTGTCTCTGGGTTTCTGATGACCCTCTGTGACAGTGGGAATGCTCAGGTTTAAGAGAGGACAAAACTAGAGGTGTCACTTAGTTAGGATGATTGATTTTCAAAAGGACCTGACCCTCTTGAAAATGGATCTCATGTCCTAGTTTAAATAATTTAGAACATTTGAAAGCAACAAATGGATTTATGTGTGTTTCAAAGGGGAAATGCTTTGATAAGTTTCAGGATTTAAATGAAGAAATCAAAACATCACAATACCTTTTGTTTTGATGGTTCACATTTGTGTTAATCACAGTATATGAACTTTTTTCTCACTGTTTAACTGTAACAATACACTCTATAGTTTCGATTTCTATTATATATGGTGTTATATTTTCCTGTTTTAAGAAATTTAATGGCATTGTTATTTCCTTGGGGTCTTTCATCTAGTTTAGATATCTTAGTATGAATGCACATTTATGGCATATTCATACAGTAAAATGAAATATTAAACCAAGATATGAAAGGATATTTTTGTCAGGTACATTATAGGTGAAGCATTTTAACAATGGATATTATTGATAAGAGCCAGTCAATCCTGACATTGTTCACCTTAATTGATTATTTTTCACGTAGCTGATGGTTTCCTGATATTCCATGATGTCTCTATCTAGCTAGCATGCCACATAAATATTCTTATTATATTCAATACTATAGTCTATTAAATTCATGGTTGTATGGATCAGACACTTTATCTTGACACAAGATAAAACTTCTTTGGCCAATCTCATGGAAAGAATATGCCCTAGATTGTTGTTTTTGCATGATTCTGTAATAAGTAAAGTGTTGTAATAAGTAAAAATATGGTTTTACTTTTTAAGTATGGACATGCTTTACCTGTCAGATATGTATCTTCTCATCAACAGACTGTACTTACTAACAACTTTAGGATACTTATTTATTCATCTTTTGCTTCAAAAATAGGCACTTAGCATTTGTGTAGATCCAGCAGAACAACAGTAGTCAATTTGATCTGGCCTCTAAAGCAGGTGTCATTTTGATAAATGGTACTAATTAAGCTAAGGTTTCAGGTACGAAGCCGATTGAGTTAGGTGTTGGCACCTGGATGGCCATGGCCAGACAAGTACAGATGTCGCAGCCAGGTAGAGGCAGCACTTTATTAACTTCCTTGAGTCTCCAGGTTTTGCATCTCCCATCATTTGATCACAGAATCTCGGTGCTGGGGCACTATGGCTGCAGCTTGCATTTATTCACAGGTTGTAGGAGGCCAAAGCACTTATGGAAATTTCAGCTCTTTCAGGTCATTTTTTTTTCTCACTGATCCCTATCCTGCAGTGAGAGACAAGTGCATAAAAATGATTAATTAGACAAGAAGCCTCATTGTTTTCAATCCATGATTCATATTCCTCCTGCACAACAAGGGTTTAAACTGCAGGAAACAAAGCTCTTTTATGTCTTCTTACATTAATTTCATTATAGATTGTCTAGGTAAAGAGTGCAGGATTCTGTCACTGCTTTCTTCTTCATGATTAGAAAGACTTTTAGTGCAAAATGACATTGGGACATGACCTTCTCTTTTGAATTTCTGTCTTCTTGGTGATCTCACAGGATCAAATTAGGCCTTGGACAGTTCCACTATTGAGGACTCCAAAAGAGGATTTATGATTCCTCTTATTTTCTCTACTTACTCACTAAAAAAATTTGTTTTGATTAGGGAGAGGTACTTTGAGATGATATTTTAATAATCTTGGAGAACCAAATTTGTTTTCTTCAACTTTCTAACATGGAGGTTAGAAAAAAGTATCAAGGAAATATTTCAGGCTTTGCAGGCCATATGGTCTCT